TTGAGGTTGAATCATGTGCCTTCCGCCTCAACCTTGAACCCGGCGTAGCCGATGTTATCGCAGCGTTTCCTGAGGCCCCCCAACACCGTGCCTGAGCTTAGGCCCTTCTCGCGGGCAAAGGCCGCGATGGCCTGGTGGACCCATCCTGCTCGTTCGCACGCGCAGCCCGAAGTTCCGAGAAACCAGATCTCGTTGCGGTCCTTCCAGGCCCTGACCCCCCTGCCCCTGAGCGCCGACCATAGGCGCATCTGCAGGCATGTAAGGCCCATGGGCCAGCGCCCTCCGGCTGGCTTGGCCGTGAAGACGACGACTGTGAGCCACTCGCGGCATGCTCTCGGTTGGTCCTCCCAGCACTCAAGGCTGGACAGAAGCCTCTCGAGGTAATCGTCGTCGAGAAGCTGAAGGTGTCTGGGGCGGAGTTGGTCCCAACCGAACCGAAGCCTGCCCACCTGTCGCGCACCTCCTGGGGACGCCCGTGGTCGGTCACATTCGATGGCGGGGGGGAGGGGGCGTCGGACGAGTCCCACGTTGTGGCAGTTTCTTCGCCCCACGCTCTCCTGGCGCCCTGCCAGAGTGGGCATCCACTCCTCGAGCAGCTGCTGCGCAGCCTCGTCTCCACTGAGCGGAAGCGCTGTCTCATCGTCCGTGGGGCTGGCCACCATGGCCTGGGCGACCGGCTCGGGCTCGGCGAACCGGCGTGCTAAATTTGCCCCTGGGGCAGAGCAGCAGCAGAGCAGAGCAGGAGTAGGAGCAGGAGTCGAGTTGGCCAGGTCGAGCGAGACAGAGGCCCCCCATCCGCCCTGCCACGGCATCAAACATAAATATTTTGGTACAGCTTGATATTGGGATGGGGTCGGGCATGTCCCCCTACAGGCGGATTCGGGATGAAAAGTTACAAAGATTCAAGAAATGCCCAAACAGAGTCAGAAAAGAATAGAACCCTCGTCCCCTGATTATTTTCTGGCTAACTTCGAATACGGCTGGTTCGCGTCGCGTCGACCCCGACGTTGGTCTCTGACACTGCGGGGATCGTTCAACCTTTAACGATCGGCCGTTTCCGAAACGTCCAAATCGTTCCACATCGAACGATTCTGGATCGCCCGCGGCGTTCAAAGTTGAACGCCGCTGGCGGGGTCGCCGGTGGTCGACACGACGCGAGCCTACCGTACCCGTCCTGTCGGAAGGACATGCCCGACCCAACGCTGGGACTGCACCGCGCCCCCTCCTCGCCGACGCCAGGCGCTGCCGCGGCCCCGGCGAAGGGAGAGAACGCGACGCGGGCCGGGCGGGGACCTCCGGGGGAGGCCCGGGCCGAGAACCGGGAGCCGCTGCGTCAACACCATACTTTTTTGTTCGGCGGCCCGCAAGGAAAAGTCCAGAGGGCGTGTCAATCAACGGCAAAGGGGCGCGATGCCATATAATTCGAGAGCGCCATGCCACAAAAGGAGGAAGCCGCCAAGAGGGCGCCAACCCACGCACGTGCAAGTCAACACCATACGCAGTATTCCAGCTTCTGGCTCCGTCCAAATACGGGGCCAGATGCGAGCCCTACCCCTACCCCCCACGAGTTCTGAGGGGGAGGGCGGGGTTCACCTCGCTCGGGAGCTCCCGAGCGAGGTGAACCCCGCCCTCCCCCTCAGAACTCGTGGGGGGTTGGGGTAGGGTTCGCATGTGGCCCCCTAAATATTCCAGCGTCTGGCTCCGTCCAATGCCGTCTGGAGCCCGCCCCGAAGGCACAGAGAAGCGGTCTGGCGAGCCAGAAGCGGAGGGAGCGGCAAGACTTCCGCTGGGGCGACGAAGGCGAAGGCGAAGCATGCGCCGCGCCGGCACGGCGCCGCCCCCTGCACTCACAGGCTGCGCGGCGCTCTGGCGCGAGGTCGGCGCGCCGCCCGGCCTCGCGCGGCCCCGCCGCCGCTGTCGCTGCCGCGCGCTGCGCGGCGAGGCAAAGGCGCGCACCGCGCCCGCGCTGCGAACGCGCCGTCCAGGCGCCATAAGCACAGGGCTCGGGCGAGGGCGCCAAGTCGCCCACTCGCTCGGGCCCCCAGGAGTCAGCGAGCGGCAGCTGGGCGCCGCGGGACGGCGGGAACGCCACCGTCCAACGACGCCTGCGCGGTGCCGAGGCGAGAGCGACGTGTTCGTTCGCTCGCGCGTCGGCGAGGTAACGCGTGCCAGAGCTCAACTCCACTAGAAGTATGTGCGCGGCGCCGGGGCGAGAGCGCCACTTCGGCCTGTCGCACGGGATGTGCGCCCCATCCCACGCCTGCTACGCATTTTGCAACATGGACGACAGAATGTCCGCGTTGACACGAAAGAATGTTCATGCACTGTTTTTTGGGGCCGGCAGGGTGGGACCACCCGGATGGGGCTGCCATCGGCCAGCTTCGTGGCAGAGTGGGAGTATCTGCCGCCGTGCCCTCGAGGCACGAGTTGGAGTGTCCTCAGGTGGAGGCTGCAAAGAGGTAGGCGTGCTGGGCCAAACGCCCGTGGCCTTTCCTCTGGCGGCGCGCGTGTTGCACGCAGCCCCTAGAAAGAAAGCCAAGGTGCCACTGCGGCTAGGCTAGTCAGCAGCAGCAGCAGCAGCAGCAGCAGCGGCAGCGGCAGCGGCTAGGCTAGTCAGCAGCGCCTTGGAGTGTCCTCAGGTCCTCGGCCTACTCCGTGGAGCCTCAGTCGTCAGTCCTAGGGATTCTTGAAAGGGCCCGGACCCGAAACTGCCGCAACTTCCGGGGCTCCCCGCGTGCCCTCCAAGGCCCGCCGCGGCGTCTCGCGCCACTCTTGAAGGCCCAAGAGAAGGCCCAAAGACGGGCCAAGAGAGCCCCAAGATGGCCCAAGAGGGCCCCGAATCTCTGCACGATCGGTCCAAGACGCCCAAGGTGGCCCCACGACGGCCCAAGAAGCTTCGAAACGGCCCAAGAAAGCCTCAAAAGCCTCCCCAAGAGGGCCCCGAGAGGCCAAAATCGTGTATCGCCCATTGATTTGTCAATGTGTTTGGAATTCTCCACTTTTCGAGCTCCCGACGCTCCACGACGTCCCAAGAGGCTCCCAAGACCGCCCCACGACGGCCCCAGAGGCCCCCAAGAGGGCCCCAAGACGGCCCAAGAGGCGCCCAAGACGGGCCAAGAGAGCCCCAAGCAGCCCCACGGCGGCCCCAAGAGGGGCCCATGAGGGGGAACCCCAATCGAAAATCCCAGTCTTCCGCCCACAGGGGGGAGGCCCCAAGAGGCGCCCGAGAGGCCCGAAGAGGCCCCCAAGAGGGCTCCCACGAGGCCCCAACAGGCCCAAAAGAGGCCCCCAGAGGCCTCAAAACAACCCCCCAGAGGCTTCAAAACTGCCTCCAGGAGGCCCCCGAGAGGCCTCCACGAGATCCCAACGAGCATGCAAGACGCCTCAGACCCACAACCCAGGCACGTTGGCGGGATGGGCCGAAGGCCAATAGATGCTCCAATAAGGAATCAGGATGAGGAGAATAGGGTAGAGTAGGGTAGGGTAGAGCAGTTGTAGGGTAGGATAACATAAAGCACTTCAGTCTTCTGATACGTTTGGAGCTTGCGCTGGCAGATACTTGCCCGCAGGCCTGACGCTGCCTCAACAGTACCAAGCTGTTGGGCTCCCCACGGTGGCGTGCCATATATATACATACATACATACATACATACATACATATATACATGCATGCATGCATGCATGCATGCATGCATGCATACATACATACATACATACACACACACATACATACATACATACATGCATACATACATACATACAGACATGCATGCATGCATACATACATACCCACATACATACATATATACATACATACTTACATACATACATACATACATACATACATACATACACACACGTACATGCATGCATGCATGCATGCATACATACATACATACATACATACTAGCAGACATGTATATATGCATACATGTATGCATACATGCATGCATATGTACGTACAGAGATGCGTACATACATATATATATATATACATATATATATATAAACATACATACATACATGCAGGGATACATGCATACGCACATATACGTACATACACATCTGTATACAGACATACATACATACAGACAGACAGACGGGCACACAGACATATGATTTCATATGTGTGTACACATGCACATACCTACATACATGCATACATACATGCATGCATACATACATACATGTATACATACACGCATACAGTCATATAGGCATGCATACAAACATGCATGCATGCACAGGTACAGATAAGTGTGCATATACACATACGCATACACAGACATAGACATATACACATGCGTAGACAAAAAACCTAGGCATCAGCATGTTGAGTAATAGATGCACAAATATATACATACACAAATACATAAACGTACACGCATACATGTACATATACGTGTCGAGAAACGTATACATGCACAGAAACATACATATGTATCAATATATACATACATGCGCCGATACATAGACATAAACGTATACATATACATATACACACAAATTTCGACCTACTTATGCATAGACATATACATATACAAGTGGGCATACCTATACGTACACGTGTACACATACATATACATAGATGTATACATATGCATGAATGCATATACATATGCAGATACATGGGCATGTGCGTATGCATGTGCATGTGCGTATGCATACGCATGTACAGATGCATTTACATATACCTATACATATACATAACATATAGATGTGTGCATAGATATGTGCGCAGATGTATGCATATCTATATATATATATATATAACACAACCATTTACATACACATACGCATATACATATGCATGTACATACTCATACATATATATATATATGCACACCAATACCGATACGTATACATCTACATGCTTATAGAGGCATGTGTATAGACACTTGTGCATATTTATATGTACACACCTATATTCATTCATATATGTATATATATATATGTATATATGTATGTGTGTGTGTGTCCCGAGTTCTCTTCTTCGGCTCCTGCGGCGAGGCCAGGGCCTCGTGCGCGGGCGCTGGCGGCGCCTCCGCCTCCTCGGGGTCGCAAGGAGGCTGGCCGGCGTCTGGGGCCCTGCAGGGCAGCCGCGCGGTCTGCGGGCCCTCCCGCAGCGCGCCCTGCGCCCGCGGCTCGGCCCGCCCGCGGGCGGACCTCGCCTTGGCGCCGCCGAGCGAGCCGCCGAGCGAGCCGCCGAGCGGGCCGCCGTGGCCCGCCGTCTGCTCGTGCAGCCCCGTGAGGGCCGCGAGGGTGTGCGCCTTCGGCGGCGCGCCGGGGAGCAGCGCCTGCTCCGCCCCGTGGGGCCCGTCGCCGTCCCGCGGGCCAGCCGCAGGGGACCTCGCCAAAGACGTCCTGGCCTGCCTCCGCGCGCCCGCGGGGTGCGCTGGCAGGAGCTGCCGGGCGGCGCGCGGCGGCGGGCTCGCCACGCGCTGCCTCACCTCGGGGGCCTCCGCCCTCTGAGCCAGCGACGGCAGCTCGGCCGCCGCGGCCCTCGCCGCCGAAGGCAGCTGCTCCAGTCCCGGCCCACGCGCCGGCCCCGTCAGATCGAGGGCCACGTTGGCCAGCTTCGACGGCCTGGAGGCCCGTGGCGCCGCCGACGTCTCCTCCGAGGGCGGGCGGGGCAGGACGGACCACAGGTCGGGCAGCGGTCCTCCCGCAGAGTGCCCTTTCTCCTGCGGTGGCTCTACCAGCTTCGATTCGGAAGCCAGGACGAGGTCGGCGCACTCCGTGAGCCAAGCCTTCGGCGACCTGCGGCTCTGTGGGCTGTGAACTGGACTCTCTCGCTGCGGGAGCGCACCTGGGTGCCTGTGCGCAGGGGACCTGCTGCCGCCGCAGGCTTCTGGCGCGTCGAAATCGCCCGATCCACTCCTCATCCCATTCTGTCCAGGGCTTTTGCCACTGGAGGCTGGCTGCAGCGAAGGCGGCTGGAGGACGCCTGGCTGCCTCATGTCCCAGCCTGGCGGCATGTCGCCCAGAACCGCCCGCAGGGCGTCCTGCGCTGGCTGAGCGAGTGCGGCCGTGGCGGAAGCTGAGCCGATGATCTCGGACTCTCCGTGGGCTACGCTGGCAGGACCGCCGCCGCCGGGGGCTGCCGATGCGGCTGCCACTGGCCTGGCTCCTGTCAAAGCCGTTACTGATGTCTCCAGCGGAGTCGTCACGGCATGGCCGAACGTCTCGGCCTCCACTGGCACAACCTGAGGAAGGCAGCATGCCAGGCCAGAGTCCTCGTCCTGCTCGGTGGGCGCAGCCGCGATGCTGGAAATGGGAGCCGCTGGCTCAGCACGCGCGAGTGGCGCCGCCACGACGGTGCCCGCTGCCAGCTCGGCATGTGCGCCCGTGTCCGCCGCGCAGCCGGCACGTTCAGCTGGCGCCGCAGGTGCCATTCCCGCCGCGTGGTCGGGCGGCGGCTGCGCCGCCTGGCGCAGGACGCCCCACTGCCGACGGTCCACCTCCGCGGGGGTGGCCTCGGCCGCAGTTGGCGGCTGGGCCTTGCCAGCAACGAGGGGCTCGGCCATCGCTGGCTCGGGCGGCGCGCCACTGGGAGGTGCCGCATCGGGCGCGGGCGCCTCTGGCTCGGACGCCAGCAGGGCCGACGCTGGTGCCAGCGGATGCTGTCGCCGGCCTGTCGGCCAACCACCCTGCGCCGCAGACGATGCCGAGGAGGTTGCCTCTGGAAAGGGGGCCGGGGCAGCCGCGGCGGCCTCGGCAGGCGCTGAACCGGGGGGTGGCGCGGCGGGGGCGGCCGCGGAGGGCTTCGAGGCTGCCGCATCGTTCGTCGCAGACCCCTCGCTGCCCAGAACGGGCTGGTGCGGGCCCTGCCCGGCGGCCTCCCAGAGCCGCGGGGAGGACCACACGGAGGACTCCTCGAGCCCGTCGGCGCCGATCCCGCCCGCGGCGGCGGCCCCGCAGCTCGGGAGGGCGCCGTGCAGCCGCTCGAGGCCCCCGAGCACGCCCTGGTGGGGCGACGGGAGCTGTGTCTATCCTCCACGGCCGCTGGTCAGGGCCATGGGGAAAGGAGAGAGCACTGATGCCGTTTCTCCGCGAACCTCTCGTGGGGTGCGTTCTGGCCAAGACGCCGATCCGAATCGAGCCGCGGCGACGCGGGAAGGGCCGCGGTGTCGGAATCTCCTCCTCCTCTGAAGTCGGAGAGACGGGATCCCCAGAGCTCTGGCCCACTTCCCAGGGACCGCCACTTCGCCCCGGAGCGTTCTCTGGACGGTCCTGGAGCCCAGCGAAGGGCCCCCAGAGGCCGAAACCGGCAAAACATCTCCGTCGTGATGTGTTCACTGCGTTGGAGGTCTGCGTCGTCGCCCAACCTGCCAGCAGGAGCCCCTCGGCCGCCTCAGGAACTTCCAGGCCAGCTCGGCCAGCTCGCGCTCCACGGCCAGCGCGTGGGCCCCCGCGGCGCCCTCGCCCGCCGCGGCCTCGGCGCCGTGCTCGAGCAGCTGCAGCCGCAGCTCCAGCTCCTGCACCGAGGGGGCAGGGCCACCCTCGGAACCCTGGAGGTGCATACGCTGCGAAAGCTTGCCGACAGAAGAATGTTTTCCAGCGCGGGGCCCAAGCAGTGGGATATGTTGCACTGCGGATATAAAAAATATGTTCACAATGGTGGCACCCTCCCACCCGCAACCTAGCTTGCAAAACCCACTCAGCCGCGATTGCGGTGACTACTTGGCGCTCGCTGGCGTATCTCCGCGGCTGCGCTGGCGCGCGCGAGCTCGCGCGCGGAGCAGCCAGCTGGTTTGGCACAACCGATGCGGCTGCGATGGCGCTTGCCAACGGGAACCCCCCAGCATCTCTCAAAGGCCGCGCTGGCGCGCGGGCACGTCACTGCGCGTCCGTGACTCGGGCGGGCGCGGTATCATGACGACGACGACAGCGGTGACAACGATGGTGGTGGCGGCGATGACGATGACGATGACGACGGCATGGCCGATGACGGCGCCGATGAAGGTAACGACGGTAGCGATGATAACGTCCATGTGTCGATGATGGAAATGAATGGCTGATGATGGCGGCAATGGCGACGGTTGACGACGATGCTAACCGCGGTGATGCGGCGGCGCTGATGAGGGCAATGGAGAGGAAGTGAGCGCGCGCGGACATGCGAATTGTTAGCCAGCGTGGACCCCAAACAAAATGTTTCTAGCAATATGCGTGGTGTTATCTGCGTGAAGCAATCAATCTATGTGGTGCGAACTATGTAGAGTAAACGATCACTGGCTCAACTTGAAGCTGTCCTCCCCAGTGCTCGTGCAAACATCCCACCCCCCCACCCGCACCTTGGTCGCAGGACCTCTAAGACCGTGACGGTGGGTACCAAAAGGCACTTGGTAACGACACCGACGCCGACGACGACAGCGACAACGACGCCGACGACGCCACCGACAACGACTACGACGACACCGACGACGTCTCAAACGACTTCGACGACGACGACAACAACGACGACGACGACGACGACGACGACACCGACGACGACGACGACGACGCCGACGCCGACGACGACGACGACGACGACGACGACGACGCCGACAACGACAACGATGACGACGATGACAACGCCGACGACGACGACGACGACAACGACGACGCCGACGACGACGGCGACGCCGACGACGACGACGACGACAACGACGCCAACGCCGACGACGACGACGACGACGACGACGACGACGACGACGACGACGACGTCGCCAACGAAGACGACGACGACGACGACGACGACGAGGGAGGAGGGAGGACGACGACGGCAACAACGACGACCACGACGAGGGAGGAGGGAGGACGGCGACGACGACGACGACGAGGGAGGAGGGAGGACGGCGACGCCGACGACGACAACGACGAGAGAGGAGGGAAGACGACAACGACGACGACGACGACGACGACGACGACGACGACGACGACGGCGACGAAATAAGAGGGACAACGACGAAACGCCGACGAAGACAACGAGTGAGTAAGGACGACCACGGCGACAACAACGACGGAAACGACGACGACGCCAAGACGACGACGACGACAAGGAAAGACAGAGGACGACGACGGCGACGACGACGACGGCGGCGACGAGGGAGGAGGGAGGACGGCGACGACGACGACGACGAAGACGACGACGCAAGAGCACGCGCACACGCTTTTGTTGAAAATCCGTGTTGCGAAACCCTGTTTTTGTATGCGTTTCGGAAAATCAGTTGTGAATCCGAAACCGCAGGTGTTTGAAGGATTTCGGCAAGCGCGCGCGACTACGTGCGCGCGCGCACTTCGTTCATTTTTTTGCAAGGGATTCTCACAACGGCACGCGCGCAAGGGCGTTCGAAAGATTTCGCCATGCGCGCGCGCGAAGCCCGTTCGGTAGCATGGTTTGAACATCTGTTGTTTTTTATTTAAAAAATGTTTTCTTAAGATTTCGCAAGAGCGCGCGCGTAAGCCTTTGTAGAAAATCAGTGTCGCGAAACCATGTGTTGTTGTATGTTTTTTTGAAACTCTGTTTTGAAACCCTTCCGAAACCGAAAGTTTTTGACGTTTTCTGCAAGGGATTATTGAAAACTTGTGATTTTTTGGTAAACGAATGCGCGCGCATAGAATTTTTTGCAGAGGATGGCAGGGGGAACCGATACCGGTTTGGCTGTGATAATATGAACTCACAGGTAGGCTGGTCATTGGGTCAGAAACCTATGTGTTTTACATTGGTTCCCAGGGGGTCTTTAACCCCGGGGGGGAAGGTGGTAGAACCTAGTTTCTTTTAGAAAGGAGAATATACGTGGTGGACCCCATGTGGTACAATATCTGTTGTGCGATCTACGTGGTGCAGTCTACGTGGTGAAATCCACTCTGCTGAACTTGAAGTCGTCATCTCTACTGCTCGCGCAAACATCCCACCCACCCACCCGCAACTTGGTTTGCAAAACCTCTTAAGACCGACTACGACGACACCGACGACAACGACTAGGACGACACCGA